AGCCACATTATCAGTCTTCCCTGATGTCCATCCAGGTTGAGTTAGTTTACCTTCTCCATGTTTCCATAGACCCAGTACAGATTTATTACAGATAATTTACACATTTATTTACATACACGTTTACATATTTATGTATCTAATGACATATTTGTCTCTACCATCTTGGTTTCTCTCTGTGTACTCCCTACACTGGTGGTTTTTAGCTGGGGGCAACTCTGCTCCCCGAGGGGACATTTGGCAATGTCTGGAAACATCTTTGGTTGTTACAAACGGAGGGCGGGAGTGCTAATGTTATCTAGTGTGTAGAAGCCAGGGATGCTGCTAAATATCTTACAACATGCAGGAGAGGCCCCCACAATAAAGAATTATCCAGCCCAAATGTCAACAGTGATGAGGCTGAGAAACACTGTCCTATACCTAGCTTCTGCCTAGCCGGGAACATAAAAACATACACCCCAAAATACCCCAAGAACACCCCACTATATATAAAACCATATAATGAACAACGGTAAAGTGAAATTTTAAAGCCCAATTTCTTCCTCCATACAATGACATAATAATATCTCTGCCCGAAGGTTGCAGGGAGGATTAAAAGAGACAACATATGAACAGTGCCTGGTACAAAGCTGGTACTCCATCAATATCAGTTCATCCTAACAATAAAGTGCACAAATTAAATCACAGACCCAGAATGTTTTCATGCTGAAATGAGCCCTAAAGTCTTTGTAGTCAAACCCCTTCATTTGATAGCTGAGGAATGTCAATTTTTAAGGGCTAATGACTTGCCTAAATTGTTGGCCTCAGAGCTGAGTTTCTAGTTTAGTGGCAAACCACATTTGAAATGCACGCACAAGAAAAATTGTAAGCTGACTCTTTTGTAAAACAAATAATTATCTTTTTTGGTTTGGCCTGTAAATACAATTTTCATAGGTATGTATAAAATTTTCTTAGAAATAGTTAGAATACTAATAAAACAATGATCCAATTGAATAATGTTACCAAAAGTTTCACAGGGGTTTATTTTAAAATTACATTTTTACATTTATGCAAAAATAGGTAAATGTATTAAAATACAAAGTTAAACAAATAATACATTCTTTTGATTGTAGGGGATATAGTCAGAATCCAGAAGGACAATTTAAATAGTTTATCATAAGCCTCTCAAATATTAACAGGCTTTCTGACATGTATGCTAAAAATTAACTGCCTTGTAATGTTTCAGTTCTTCTTCCCTGCTCAATTCCTAATAAATGCAATAGAATTTCTTAGCAAAATGTAACTTAGAGGCACCATCCGATCTGAGATCCTGGATTCTAACATGTTATGGTTTTTAATATGAACAGCGGTATAACTAGAATTTAAACAAATTATGGCAAATAAATTAAAACATTTATACTTTAACATCTATAGACTTTATTAGGTGTTCCTTGTATAGTCATCTGGTATGTTTAAAGAGTGAGCAATCATATAAAAGGAAATATGGTCATAACTGATTGAAGTAATAAAATCCTGAAACTAAATAACATCTCATAATTCACTGCACAGCATATATTAGATTTCATTACATCACTATATAGCTTAGTAGTAAATTCTCCTGATGGCCATAAACCTCTAAGGTGTTGTCATCCTGAAAAATGAAGGCGAGGGAGTTGGTGGGGTACAGAATGAAGAAATCTTCAGTAGTGCTGGTATTGGGGTACCTTTAAGTTATAAAGTTATAGTGCATCGCCACCTAGTGGCAGAATTTACAAGACTTCCTACAGTCTTGTCTTGCTCCAATAAAGGGGCCTGAGTTTATCCACGTTCTAACTGTATTCTTCCCTGATACCATAGTTTCTAAAATCCATGCTGCCCATATGATATAAAACCATCTGCTCTTAATCCACCAGGCTGTCAAAGACTTGGTTATAACAATTTTTATGTTCACTTAACTGTTTAATTCCAAGTACTTTGGTTATTTTCAAAGCCACACATAGGATGCCTATATTTTAAAAATACCATCCTGTTTGTGAATTTGGAAGGATTACTACAGTTATAGGAACTTTGGACTTTGGCCCAGTTTTGATTCTTATTACTGAATCTTTCAGGAAGTAATAATCAATGCAGAGTTAATTCTTTAAAAGGGAGTCCTTAAAGTAAACAGCTACATATCATTGCCGAAATCTACACTTTGGATTTTATTAAGATTCTAGAATTTAAAAACAGGAAAAAGCGCTGTAACATTTGGGTACCATTTATAGAGCATCACGTAAATATTTAGGCCATGAGAACTCAGTTAAGGGATGTTATCAAATATTTGTGTGCATTATGGAATTAGGACCAGAGTCAGTATTTGGGGGTCTGAGGCCCCAGCAGCCTTTACTCTGCTTCCTACACCTTGACATGAAGATTGAGTGATACTAGGCAGTGCACTACAACAGTGAACATAAGCCAGCTCTCTGTTTTTCTTGGATGAAACTGCAAAGTATAGTAAAATAGAAAAACAGAACATAGACCACTTCAGAGTAAACAAATCTTTCCTCAAGGTTTAGGAAAACCATATATTTAAAACCAATCTCGAACTTTGAGCAATAAAAGATATCAAACATTTTAAACCATACAAGGCAAATTAGCAGGATTTGAAATGTTAGAAATTGAAAAACATCACCAATCCAAAAGGCAAAACAAGGAGATAGCTAAATCTTAGCCAGGCTCCATTCTAATCAGAGTTGTCATGCAGATCCAATTCTACTTCTTCTCATCCCAGGTGATGGATATTTCATTCAAGGAGGTCAAACACCCAAGGGGAGTAGTGGACCAGAATGATAGTGCCACAGAGGAGATAGAAGGGAGGACCTTGGACCTCAGCTACTGGCCAGCTATTAGACTTGAGAGTACTCTGTATTTTCCCAATTATTTATTCTCCCTTCTAGTAATATAACTTACATCATGCTTACTGTGTGGCAGAAACTGTTCTAAGTGCTTGCCATATAATGTAGTCAGTTAATTTTCACAACCCTGGAAAATAGGTTCTATCATTAGCCCCATTTTAGAGCTGAGGAAACTGAGGCACAGAGGGGTTGAATTGTATTCCTAAAGTTACACAGTGAGCAGATAGATTCAGATCTATGCAGTCTAATCCAGAATTAGCTCTGAATCACTCTACTATTCTGTTTACAGGATGACAAGCTTGTGTTTCAGATACTCCATGGTGATTTTTTCAAACAGGACAGCTTTTGATAACAAAAAAGCCCTCTCTTTCAAATTAAAGGATTTTGCTGATGAATTAACAAATCCTTACCCATTCACCTAGTCTCTGAATGAGCCAAATACAAGCTTTACTTTTTGTTTTATTCTTTGTAACAAGCAGAACAATAATTTATAAGTAACAAAAACATTGATATAGTGTTCTATGGCTTTCAAATAACTTTTGCATACTTGTTCTCGAATAAGGTAATCAAGCAACATAGAATAGGCATGCACTTTGGCTTTAGGAACTCACAAAATCAGAGGTTGCCCTATTGTCCTGCCACTTTCTACCTTGAGCAGGTAGAGAGCCTGGGGATTCCTCTTCCTGTTATACCTCAACCTTGGTCAGTGGTTTGTCCCCATCTTTCAGCGATGTCCTTATGCTTAAATGTCAACAGCACTTACAAGCATGGTTTCTGGGGTCATTGAACAGCCTCCCTCTACCCCCACACACCTTTGTAGTGCTCTGCCTTGAGACTCCCCAGTTCAGTCTCCTTGTAATTGTGTATATCAGATGTCTGAATGGATAGACCAGACTCCTGTAGAGGTAACCTTGAGGTTACAATCAAAGAGCTTTTGGAGAGTCCTACTCAAGGAAAATTTCTGAGCATGCCAATGCTCTTAAAAATTAGGAGTTCCAGAGCACACATCTTCTCAGCCTCCTTCTGCCAAATAGGACTGAAACCTTGTCATAATGTGACCTGAGTGAAAACCATTATCAAATGAGGATCTAGCTATCTTGGACTAGACAAAAGAAAATCAACATGATTTCAGAATGGGTTTAAAAAAATAATCTGAATACCAAAGAAAGGCTCTTAGGGGATTTAATGAGGCTTTCTAATATTTTAGCAAAAATGTTAAAAGATGCTCTTTATGATGCTACAAAAGTCTTTTGATTATCATCTAGTGAAAAAAATATAATATACACACTTTTGATTGCTTTATGAATTTTAAATGTGACACAAAACTGGTTTTTCACACTGTATTGTGAAATTCCCACCACACACAGCAGTGGCTTGTTGTAGAACACCAGTAGGCTGCAGGTGTTCCATGCTCTCACCTCCACCGAAGAAAGCATGTCAGAATTTAGGGATGGGAATGATGACACTGTTGAATGATTTCAACTCATATTTTAAAAAATTACTCTATAATCTTAAAACTTTTAACTGACGAGTATCTAACCCTTATACTTTATAACAACCATTTCTAAAGTAAAAGCGTCACCAGGATATGAGAAAGTATAATTTGTCTTTGTACTATTTTTCTAATCTATGTATTAGCACAGAAGTACATAGGTAATATACCTAAACTGCTTTTCTCACTAGTTATATAACCTCTCAATTTACTGTGCATAATTTCTTTTTAAATGGTAGAATGCAAAATCAAATCTACTTGTAGAGTAGTGGTTGAAGAGGCTGTTTCCCAGCCCTGGCAAATTAGGGGTGAATCCTCCCTTCTTTTATTCAGTAGCTTCTGAAGCATGAGAGCCAGTCTGCTCAAGTGCTGTTTGCTTCAAGAAAAGTAAAGTCATTGGTGTTTGCTTTTTGCTCCATTCCATACCTGCAAGTTAAGCCATGATGTGGCTTCTAAGCATCGTACTAGCCTACAAAATCCAAAGGTGACTATTCTACTTGGTTTAATGTTAAATCCCTCAGTAAACTGAGAGTAATATAACCAGTGAGAAAAACAGATAAAGTGGCCTCTGAGCTCCAGGAAGAAGTTAAAAACAAATTTGGAAAAAATTGCAACAGTAAGTAAATCCAGCAGTTACACAGTATAAGGTTTAAAATTCAAAAACTCCAACAATGCTTACAATAGACATTTATTTAAAGTAATACATCTGCAGATGAAATAATTATTTAATTTTATGTTTAAGGTCTAACCATCTTCATAAAAATACTCTGAAGACAGCTGTATCCACAGATTTCATCTATGTGATTACTTCTTTGCCCATTCTTCTCTCTCTTTTCTTTCACGAATAACCTCTTTCAGATATGGTTCAAGGTAGAATTTATCCTAAAAATTAAAAAAAATATCACATGCTACCATCACAAACTAATATATCCCACTCAATAGGTCTTAAACAATAAAAAACCCAATCCCTTGCTTTTTATGTTCAATTTAAGAAAATATATTCTCAACCAGACTAAGTACTATTTGCTTTTTAAAATGTAAAAACCCATAAAAATATTGTAACAAGTTGCTCTGGTAAGTTATGAGACAGAAGTCTATTGGGGAAGAAAAAGAAATGAGTGTGTCTACAGGCTTTTGCCTAGTTTCAACACAGTTCAAGTGGTGGGTGAGGGTTTGCTTCACTTAAGTCCCTACTGGGATCTAGAGGGCCACTCAATGGGCTGATCTTTTCTCTGAGCAGAAAGCAGAGTGCAGAGGGAGGCAGAAACCTGGATTTCTAGTCCTGGAACTCTATAGAGGAGACTTGCTTAGTGATTTTTGAAGAGTTATTTCACCTCTAAGTCTTAACATGTTTTTCTCTAAAATGGAGACAACACTTGCTGCTGAAAGCACAGATACTTAATATAACTTTGAGAACTCTAAAGCACTACACAAATGAATGCGTTTCTCTTGTTTCTAATAATCTCTAATGACCAACATTGTCAGATACATCGAAGCTGTTCTACCTCTTCATATTTTGTCCACTGTTCTTTGGGCAAGATCTGCTGCCTCATGGTCAGGTCCAATGCTCTCTTAATGCGAAACATCCTGTCATTATAAAGGTTCTCAGGAAGCCTTCTTACGGCTTCTTTTACATCTTCATCCTCACGTATTGTATCATCTCGCATTAACCCTATGACAGAAAACAAAAGAATAAGATTGAACATGCAGCTGAACATGCATCTCAAAAACCAGGGTTTTTTTTAAATGAGTAAAATATCCTTATGACTTATAACTTAAGACTTGGGCAAAGGATCAAGAATTCAAATCACTAGGTATGATAGAAACCCAATGCACTTCAACATATAATGGGTTATTTCTTGAACTGTACCGTGGAAACAATATATGGGCCTCTTGAAATCCACTGCCACAAAACTCACATTTTATCTGAGTCAATTTTAAAAATATAAAATATTTACTTTGTTTTTAAATACACATCAATAAAAAACATCTCTACTTTCTTATACTTTAAATCTGAGATCAAGGTATTACAGAATGTTAAAATGATAGTGTACGAGGGCCAGGCGTGGTAGCTCTTGCCTATAATCTCAGCAATTTGGGAGGCCGAGGCAGGAGGATCACTCGAAGCCAGGAGTTCAAGACCAGCCTGAGCAACACAGCAAGACTCTGTCTCTACAAAAAATTAAAAAATCAGCTGGGCATGATGGTGCTTGCCTACAGGCCTAGCTACTCAGGAGGCTGAGGTGGGAAGGCTGCTTAGGCACAGGAATTCAAGGCTGCAGTGAGATCTAATCGGGCCACTGCTCTCCAGCCTGGGTGATAGAGCGAGACCCTGAAAAAAAAAAAAAAAAGGATAAAGTTCAGGAATCATATGACTGCAAAGACGTGAGACAATTTTACTATTTGAAGAATATTAAAAATTTTAAGTGGAGGAATGAGTATATAAGGAAAATGTCTGTTTCAATAAATCATTTCTACTTCAAACACTTTAAACAATTTCATCCCTCTCCTAAGAATTTAAAAAAGGAAATGGATTTAACCTAACAATAAAATGTGATCGAATTTTAAAATCTTCTGATGTACAAAGGGAAAAAATAAAGTATTTTTGGAACCATAAAGCTTGCAAAAGCACTATTCTCAGAAAAAGCAAAAAAAAAAAAAAAAAAAAAAAAAAAAGAAGAAGAAGAAAACACAGATACTCACCCAGTTTATTGAATCCTGCAGCATTGTAATACCATTTTCGAATACTATCCACCCACCGGCTGGATGCTGAAACTGATAATTGTTACACTGTTAGTGGCTACAATTCATTTATATGGTATGAATACAGTGATAGGCAAGCATCCAGCACTCTTACAGTTAGCCTCTTGATGAATGCAAACATAGGAAGAAATTTCCCTTCAAAAGTTTATATTCTACATACTACAGATAAAAATTGCTTATTTTATCTAAGAGTAAAAGTGACTGCAGGTAAAACATTAGGTGGCAAGTCATCAGAGATGTACAAAAGACCCATAGGTACAATTATTGCTACTCCAGCCTCTCAACACCCTGTGCCCTTATGCCCTCCTGTTATGATCAGGATTGAAGGAGTGAGGGGATGGGAAAGGGACCTAGAACATCTCTATCATTTGTAGTTTCAGAAATAGAGTATAGGAGATAACAGTAAACTTTTCAAAGGATTTGGAGTTGTATGGAAAGAGGTGAGATTTCAGGATAGGCTGGCAGGTCTAAATGACCCTCCTGCTCTAAAATTTTTATTCTACAGTACACTTATTTCACTTAGCCACCCTCTTTAAAAATATATGTATTTCTGGGAGGATTCTGATATTATTAGTCATTTAAACATTAATATGGATTAGTAAAATAAGCCCATTTCCCTCCTCCCAAGCAGCTAACTTTCCACCACAGGAATGGACATTTGAAAATGGATGAGGAGAAATAGGTAATGTTAAAACTCTTTGGGGAACAGAGCTGAGCCTGATGAGGTAACCCAGCAGGGGCTAAGGACAACATGATAGTGTCTGACATTTATAAGAAAGATCTGGTACACAAGGGGAAGCAGAACAAGTTTAAATTTTCTTTTAAAATTTTGTCTATGTCTAGTCCCTTAGCAAGGAAGGAAAGTAAAACCTCTCCTTTCCCTCCAACACCTCCTGACCCCCTACCTAGAACATCACAAATTACATGGCTTTGGTAAATCTTGGAAATTAAGAGTCATGTATAAAATTGCTTCTAAAAAAACAAGAATCAAAGAGTCAGCAATATATAAACATACTTGTGGAAAACAAATTATTTGTAAACGTATTTACCAGTGATTATGACAATGATTAAAATTCACCAAACACTTATTGTGTGCCAGGCACTATCCTATTTGCTTTACCATTAGCTGGGTTTATTTACAACACGCCCATTACTGCAGAAGGGGAAGCAGGCTTACACAGTGATACTACCCAAAGTCAGAGCTAGTTAATGAGAGTTGTGTTCGGGTCTGTGTGGTTCTCAAATACGCAAAGAACCTTTAATTTGGTAAGGCTCCTTCAATATCTGCCAAACGAATGAAGTAATTCTTAAACGTCTCCCGCACCCCGCAAAACCTCAATGTCATTTAGGTTAATGGATTTTTCTGGCAACCTGATGTATCCTAACAGCTTCACAATTGCTGGGGTGGAGAGAAGGGGACCTGTTTTTTTTTTTCCTCGCTGTGTTGCCCAGGCTGGAGTGCAGTGACTCTTCTAGAGCACTACAGCCTCGAATTCCTACTCAAGCGATCTTCCCGCCTCAGCCTACCCAGCTGGGAGTGCAGGCGCGCGCCACTGCGCCAGGTTGGACCAGTATTTTTTTAAAGGCTACTTCAATTTATACCGCCAGAGGGCAGAGAGTAGCAAAAAAGAATAGGGAAAACCCTACCTGATGCTCACGTTGTTTTAATATTCCAGTAACTTCTAAATTCTATTCCATAACAAATGCGTTCGTTCTAGTGTCTACACTAACAGAAATTTCTCCAAACCCACAGATCAAACTGACGTTCCAGATAAGACGGGGTTAACTTGAAGCTTCGTTCTAACCGTCAATTCCCAGTGTGAGAAGCAAGAAGGGTGAAATGAAAATTCCAATTCTATTTCCTCGGGTCACTTTGCCTCAGTTATCAGCGTAAAAGGGAAATTATTATCTCCCTCGTTGCACTGGTAGAATTTATCAAGCCAATGCACAAGGCAGCGCATGAATCATAGCAAGTACTGAGCTCATTTTGGTTGTAAGTCATCCACTAATTATCTCCTTGTGCCCTTGAACTTTTCTAAGGCAGAGGTGAAGGACTGCCGAGCACGCACAGCGGAACTCCAGGGCTGTCAGAGCAACGGGCACCTTCACAAACAGCTTCCCAACCCTCTTGGCAAGCCCGGCCTGGGGACAGCAAAGGGGCGGGTGGTAAACTCGTCCTTTTGGCTGGACTGGAGCCGCAACCTTCCTTACGCGGCAAACCTGGCCACTTAGAGAAAAGAAAGAAAAAGGAGCAAGTTGCTGTGAGAATAAAACGTTGAGCGCCGCGATTCCCGCCAAGTAGGCCCCCCCAATTACTTACCAGCCGGCCTGCCAGCCATTTTGACCCGAGAGCGAAGCGTTGCTTTCTGGGTAAGTCCTAGAGGACGCGCTGGGACCAGTACGCAGGCGCCTTTAGTCGCATCGCCAGGCAACGGGGAACGTCCGCGCAGGCGCAGCTTTGGCGGCTGGCGTTGGGTGCCTGTGGTTCGCGCCAGTGGGTCAAGAAGAGACAAATGGAGTAGGTGGGGCGTTCTGTGCACCCCGTTCTAAGACACATCGCTTGGAACATTATGGGACGAACACTAGGCAAGGAATTAGGAGACGGAGGCTTAAAGCCGGGTTCTGACTAGGTATGAGAGCGCGGGCGGCATTAATTGAGCTCTTTGTGCCCGGCGGTAATCTAAACGTCTTATGGGTGTATTCTTATTTAACCTTCTACTGAAGGATGTGCCATCTGAAAATATGTTCAATTGGTGTATTGATTATTTAGAGTTGAAAACGTCGGAGAAATTGTTTCTTCCCATATGCAGCAAGCCATTAAAAGTTCCTGTGGGAGGGGTACTCCTCCCTAAGCAGAGCGAGAAAATAGCCCTTATCACGGGAGATGGAAATTGGGGGTTGCATTGGACGGGAATAAATACACTTTCAGAAGTAACCTTTACTTTCCACGGTTTCATCGCCCCCCGGCACACACACACACATCTTCTAGTGATGTTAAGGACCCACAAGGGCGCTCAATGTTGCTGCTACAGAGAAAGTTAATTGCTGAGACAAGGATTGTCAACGAAGGAGGGATTTATTGTAGAAGTGTAGAGGACGGGTCAATTGGGAGATGGGAGGTATGAACTGCCTCAAATCTGCCTCTCCAACCAACAGGGTCAGGGGTTTTTCTGGAGGTGAAATGAGTAATGCTTGAGGGGGAGGTGAGCACTGTTACATGTTTGGGGTGGAGTGCAGGCACGCAAGTGCAGTGAGAAATCATGTTAGTACATATATCCCACTGTGAACTCAAAATCTTAAGGCTCCCCGCCGCCCACCGGCTGACTGAATGGACCCCTTTTTGGCCAAGGGGATACCCTAAAACTGAGTTGCTAGCCATGAGAAGGGAAGTCAGACATGCCTCATCTTGCCCCTTCTTGTAGATACTCTTTGTAACTCATTAACAGGCCTAAGGCTGTGCAAGACAAACTTGCCGGTCCCCAATATACATAACAAATCACTCGAGTCTGGGTATATGTACGGTGGATTGTTTCTGATTAACAGACTTCCTTATCTTCAAACATTCCAAGCCTTTAGACAAAGCTTCATTTCTTTAACCAATTACAAATCAAAGAAACTTTCAACTCATCTATAACCCATAAGCTGCCACCAAACCAGTGAATGGTTTCCATGTATTGACTTTATGTGTAATCCCTGTCTCCCTGATATGTATAAAACCAAACTATAACCCAACCACAGGGAGTCCCCTTGCTCAAAAGTTCTTGGGCGTGGCTCCAGGCCATGGTCCTCAAATTGGGCTCAGAATAAACCTCTTTAGATTATTTTACAGAGTTTGGCTTCTTTCCAGTGACACAGTGATCAAAAAAAAGGGTGGATAAGTCCCTCCCCGCGTGGGGATTTCAGTAGTATAATGAGCTAGGAGTGAATATTGGTTATTCTTTCTGCTTTGTGCACAGGTGGGATGTAGAGAATAGGCTGCTCAGTGGGTTCTTGGGCATGATCTGTGGTGCGGTGTTGCTTATCTTGTCTTCTCTGGCCAAACAGGTGGTGTAAATCTTTGTAGTTATTTTGTGGCTGCAAGGAGATTCTGCCATTTTGGGGAAAGAATGGCGGAAAAGGAATACATCAGTACAACAGAAAGTTACAAAGTTCTGATCAGCAAATATTACTGAATCTACTAAGCTCTCAGTCTCTCTCTCTCTCTTTTTTCCTGCCTACTTTGAAACTGAAGTTGTTAAGTTACTAGTGTTGAGATAAAACTCACTGTCAAGGGTACCACCAATTCAAGGCCACTTAGAGCAGTCAGCTCTAGCCACAATGTGAACACTGAAAACTCATTTGAAACATAAAGGAACTAAAAACACTACTAAAAAAATATTTTCTTGCTTATGGAGCCAGTTACAGTGACCCCACTAGAAATTTACTGCCTCTAGCCAAATCCCCTTTGTTCTCTCATTTTCTCAAATTCAATGTTTTGTCTAAACAGCACAAAAGCATCTTGCTTTGGCCACTTCTGACTTCATGCTCTTGGGAAGATCTCCATGTATATGTAAAACTGCTACAATTTGTATGCTTTTCTCTTGTTAATCTGCCTTGTGTCAATTTGGTTTCTAGCTCCAACCAAAGAGCCCATCTTGGAGCAAAAGGGGGGTTGGAGGACTCCCTTAGGTTCTCATTTAATTCTAAATCTAAAAGTACTGTAATTATCCCCAATGTAGGGAGGAGAAAAGCTGAGGCTCAGAAAGGTTAAATAACTTGTCCAAGGGCACATGGATAGGAAGAATCCAGATACAAATCTGGGGCTCCTTAATTCTAGGGCCATATGCTATATTACTAATCCAGGAAAGACACCAGATATTTCTAACCTTCCGTTTCTCTAGCTGGAGATCTACAATCTAGTCATTTTAGTGGAAGGTTAGGTCAGAAAAGATTAAAAAAACCTAAGATGTATTACAGAATTTGCATGCAGTTTTAAAAGAGAAGCAAGCATATAGATTTGCTCACTTTTATGGTCTTAGCCCCAACATAGGAAGTCATAGGATAAACATCTAGGGACAGAAAACAATTGGAGGATTTAGTATGATTGATAGGTGCTGGTGAACTTCTACCATTACCCATTGATATCTTTTTCTTTTTTTTTTTCAGCATTAAGCTCAGAGCTGGGACAGTATAGAATACTGTCTCATTGTAAATTCAAAAGGTTAAGTTTAGCAGTCTTAGCCACATTCCAGTTCTAAAATTCTATTGCCTTTTCCCTTTTTCTTCTGTTTCCATGCTGCCACAATTCCATTATTCTGTCCTGTATACAGCACTGAAAACTGATGAATGGCTTCTTCCAGCCTACACTAGCCAAAGTGGAATCTGAAAGATGTGAAGAAATGCAATTCATTTGTACCTTGCTTGGCACATTGTCCTGCAAAGGGTAGGTACTCAATAAACTCTTCTCCCTCCCTCCTTACCCTTCAAGTTTCAGCTTGCTGGTTACAAGGTGAAGAAGGTGGCAAAAGAAGGAAAACCTTATGCCAAGGGATCAGAAACCCAGGACTTTTACAAAATCCAGCTCATGCAGGAATGAAGCTCGAGAGCTCGGATGTTTGCTGGTAGTCACTAGTGTTCATTCAAAAATTATTTTTGCTTTTCTTCCCAGCACAGGTTTAGGGATTACCCTTTTCTGTTCCCTTAAAGTTTGGAATGGCCATGTGATGTTTTTGGCCAAGAAAAATGTGAGAACTTTTAAGAGCAATTCTCCATATTCTTTTTCCCTTCCACAGACTGGCAATAATCCAGAAATGGTGGACACAGCATACATCAACCTGTATTGCTTAAAGACGATGTGAAGCAGAGCCTTTGTGGTCCTAAGAGAGACATGTTTGAGATAAAAACATTTGTGGTTTTTAGGATTGTTCATTACAGCAGCACAACTTGCCTATTCTGGCTGATATGAGTGGGTTCATAAAGGCAAAATGAGGTTCTGAGAAAGACCAGGCAGGATGGTTCCATGCTTTGTCTCCCAGCTGTACCTTCTTTCTTCTTGTTTCCTGTTTATTGATCTCATCCATTGGAGAACTCCATGAAAGCACATATCTATGCCACACTTAATACTGTATTCTAGGATCTCAAATGTTTGTTGAGTGAATGAGTAAAATATTTAATAGGAAGGCCACTATAACTAGCCCTGACAAATTACAAATTTAATTTCTCATGAGGTTTCTTTATAGGCATCCAGCAAACCACAAAACCCCGGTGCACAACACACGATGCCCAAAGTAAATGGCTTAAAACACTTCTCTTCCGGCTGGGCGTGGTGGCTCACACCTATAATCCTAGCACTCTGGGAGGCCGAGGCAGGCGGATTGTTTGAGCTCAAAGTTCGAGACCAGCCTGAGCAAGAGCGAGACCCCATAAAAACAGAAAATTAGCTGGACAACTAAAAATATATAGAAAAAATTAGCCGGGCACGGTGGTGCATGCCTGTAGTCCCAGCTATTTGGGAGGCTGAGGCAGTAGGATTGCTTGAGCCCAGGAGTCTGAGGTTGCTATGAGCTAGGCTGATGCCATGGCACTCTAGCCTGGGCAACAGAGTGAGACTCTGTCTTAAAAAAAAAAAAACACTTTTCTCCCAATTCTGAATTCAGGTGAGTAAATTCTGCTCAGTGTAGTATCTGCTGAGCTGGAATATCCAAAACAGTTCTTCACTCACACGTTTGGTGCTCATCTGGCATGGCTGGAACAGCTGGGGTTTATCTAGGCATCTTTCTCTCAAACCTGGTTTTCTCCTGCAGTAAGCAGACCTCTTTATGTAGTGGCTCAGGGTTCCAAGAAGACAAGCCCTGATGTGCAAGCACTTATCAAGCCTCTGTTTGATAATGTCCCAGGGGCCAAGTAACACTGGCCAAGAGTCAGTGTGGAAAGGGGGCTACACAAGAGTGAAAATACCAGGTGTGGTTCATAGGGGACCACCAATGTTAATGGTCTACCCAATTTGGTGATCCTAAGGCAAATAACAGAAAGCATGATGCGTCATTTTATAATAAAAAAGCAAAGGATCAGAGATTAAATCATTTGACCAGAATAACATGTATGGTAAATGGAAAATAAATCTTTGCTTACTGGCAGTAAGTCAAAGGTGTTTGCTAAGTCTTTTACTGTGTCTCATTGCCTGTACTTATCTTTAAACTCTACTTCCCTCCCTATCCTTTTTCCTTGCCTGACTTTTCAAAGCCAATTGTAGGCAACTTTGAATATCTGTGCTTAGGAAGATAATAGTGTAGATAATCCAAAAAGGAATGTGTTTTGTAGCATTATCTGAGTAGATATTTAGATGAATAATGTAGTATGCTCTGGAAACTTGTAACACTTCAAAGGAAATAAAGCCATCTTGTGATGAAACCATTTTAAAAGGCCTGTGACTATAAGAACAGGAAAATCCTTGTTCTCACCTTTACTAGAATGACAAAGTGCCAGCTTAAAGCAAACCAACTCTCTCCTTTTCTCTAAACTTGCCATATTTTTAGTTTTCTTATTCCTGAGAAGGAAGGGAAATGGTTAAGTTAAACAAGAATGAAGTCACTAGGAACGTGTAAGATCTACCACAGTGTGCATACCCAAATTTATAATATCAAGAAATTGTTTCCAATATTGAGACCTGAGACATTTATTTAAAAATACATACATTTATTCCTATAAACATTCACTTTGCAGTATTACATTTTAACATTCATCAAAAACTAAAGAGTTTTTAAGAATTTTTCAAAGTCCTGTACTGATGCTTTGGCAATCTCTTCACAAAATATTTCATCAGGAATAGATACTAATTTGTCCAAAGAGATGTAGTTAGGTTTTGCTGGATCATACTGTGCTCTTCCTAAATAGCTTAGAAACAAGTGTCTTTCTTTCACTTTAAACAACCTTGTATTAAATACCTAGAAAAGAAATAAAGTTTTTTAAAAACACTGTACACTGAAGGATAAAATATCAAAAAGTTTACTTGGCTAAAAATTTTAATAAGTTAACAAATATATTGACCACATGCTCATTAAATATGACAAATGCTGCAAGATTTAAATCCTGTAGCTTCTGTTAAGAAATTATGATAAAAAAGGGACTCAAAACCAACATCCAGAACAATAATAAAATAATTAAGGGCTACACTGTTGGACAAAGAACACTGACTACTCCAGATAGGGGAGAATGTGTTAGAAAAGCAAATCCTCAGTCCTCACCCCGAAACTACTTAATCGGAAACTTAGCAGGGCTCAGAAGTCTGTTTTAACAAGCCCTCTAGACAATTCTCATATTTACCAAGTTTGAGAAGCAATGTTAGAGATCAAAATCTATGTCAGCCAAAAATTTATCAAGATTTCATGATCTTGTGACACTTCCCTGTACATTCTTTTAAATTCCTGCTGCTCCCCCTGACTAGAATCAAAATGAAATTAATCTGACCTCTTTGAAAAGCAACTAGGGAAAGTACATCTTACCCCCCTGGGGTTAAAACTCCTAAGGAATAGACTGAGTGGCAGCAACTTTAAAAAGTAAGGAGAAGCAGACTAAGTCCCTATAGCCAGCTGCAAGAAAGAAGGGGGAACTGGAGATCCAGCTGTACTTAAGCTACAATACTTTGAGAACAGTGACAAAAAAAAGTACAGGGTGCTAACTCAACATGGGGTTGTCTCGCTTTTGGGACAGAACCTCTCTTTTGTTTCTGCAAAAACAAATGATATGCAATTCTGCCCTCATTTTGGTAACGAAATTCCCATTACCACATTATTACAACTGATGCCTGGTCCCTATTTTTTTAAGAAGTACGGATCCTATACAGTGACTCTTAGCTTAAAAAAACTATAATACAACATACAAACAAAACCACAAATGACCCTGAAGCTCCCAAACTATTACTGATTTCCTACTTATAATAACACTTTGAAGCATTTATATAGCTTATGACCAGATAGTATGTTTACTTCTCTAATGGTTCAAGGTTACTTTATCATTAGAGAGTTGCGTGCTCTTTCAAGTCCTAAAGCTGCAGCTCAGATGGGGTTTTTCTTTTTCCTTCTTTTTCTTTCTCTTGGGGGGCCGGGGGAAAGGGCTAAGATTTGTTGCCCACCAAGGGCCACTTTGCCACTGTCACAAGAATTTCATACTATAATGATGCATTCAATTCTCAGGGATTAGGAAAAAAAAAAAAGACCTCCTAGCCTGAGAATTACTGATTCCCTCTATCCTAAGGTAGACTCTAGCTTTGCCCTCACAGAAACTCACAGTGGAAGGGGAGAGACAGGTTTTAGGAGGATCCTGAATATCACCTCCTTCCTTAGACTAGTGATTTCCTCATGTTCATTACCCTAAATCTGCTTTTGTTATCCTTTACATTCCATGATCTCTTTGAAAGGACTAAATTAACCATAGTTATTATGTTATACTTCTCCACTTTATTTTTTTTTAGGCAAGGTCTTGCTCTGTGGCCTGGGATAGAGTGCAGTGGCATCGTCATAGCTCACTGCACCTCAAACTCCCAGGCTCAAGCGATCCTCCTGCCTCAGTCTCCTGAATAACTGAGACTACAGGTGCATGCCACCATGCCCAGCTAATTTTTTAATTTTTTATAGAGACAGGGTCTCATTCTTGCTCAGGCTGGTCTCGAACTCCTGGGCTCAAGCAAGTCTTCTGCCTCAGCCTCCCAAAGTGCTGGGATTACAGGCGTGAGCCACTGTGCCTGGCCCCCATTTTTAATTAATCATAAGACATATGTGCCAACCAGAACTGTTACCTTCATGAGAACATTAGTTTCACACCACTGAGTTTTAAAACACTAGACCAAGATTTAAAGTCTGTATCAGATCCTTTAAAGCTCTGCTGTCAGTTAATGTGTTTTTCCATTAATAAGCTTTCTATTTTTCTGTTTTGTTTTCAATAAAGGGCCTGGGGTGCCTAAAATGTTTTGAAACAAGTGATTCTGATGCATCTAGTCAGCTTACAGTTTCCTCTACTTGGGATGTTTCTGTCCATCTTTTAAATGCCACTCATTATTCTACAGACAAGTATCACTTCATAGAGTGGCAGCATATCCTAGTATAGAGTGTGGGTTTTCAAACTCAAGTGCCAGAATTCTAATCCTGGCTCTGTGCCTACCTCCCCTTGTTGCTGGGTAATCTTGGACAGGTTGCTTAATCTCTTTATGTTTACATTCCTCATTTGTAAAATAGGGATAAGAATAGTACCACATATGGTTGTTATAAGAATTAAATGAGTTAATACAAGTAAAGCAGTAAAGATAGAGGTGGCACATAGTTAGCACTCAATTTCTCTTACCATTTCTGTAATTCTCCTACCTCTTCTAAATTAAATTAATCACTCTCTAGAACCCCTGGTTAAGACATTTTACCATTATGTAAACCAATTACATTTTTAAAATCTGAAAAAAAAAACAAAAAACAAAACAAACAAACAAACAAAAAATAAAACCTATTTCCCACACGAGATTACAAGTTCCACAAGAACAGGACCGTGTCTGACTGATTTTTGTGTCCTTAATGTCCACAAATTGTCTAGTGCAGGAGGGATGCTCAAGTATATATGAAAGAATGACTGGGCCACTAGGGCTAGAAGGGGACAAAATCATATTCTTTTGTTTATTGTCACTGCATTATTTAGCAACCCTAGGAAAAACAAATTGTCATTGCTTTTTAGTTGAAGATTACTTACTTCACAATTGCTCCATAAGCCAAATTCACACAACTGTTGGCCTCTAACACTTTTGTAATGAATATATTAGCATTGGGTGAAAGGGGAAAATCCTATATTAAGGGCCTATTCTCAGGGAAGTATGATAAGCAAATAAATATTGTTACATGTGAAGGAATTGAACCAAACGCAATCTAGTTCTGAGAGTTGTATTAAGGTCATATTTCTTTTGCCCATCTTTATATTAAGGAACATATCTAGCAAACAGAGTAGATGCAACAACTTTAATGAAATTCAATCTGTCATTTATCCAATAAATACTAAGTGCTCATTCACATGGCAAATAGGAAAGAAGGATTACTTTGACGAAATCCAATCATTTTTCTGTTCGACAAATATTTACTGCATGACTACTAAGAGCCAGGTATAGTTCTAGACACTGGCGATTCAGCACAGTGTATAAATCAAAGTCTCAGCTTTCAAAGAGTTGTTTCTGTGAACAGCAGATAATATCACTCACTAAATAAAGAATACGCAAGTCTGATTAGCCTAAAAAATATAATTACAGCTTTGGCAATGATGGCAAACTGGAACTGCTTTATGCTTGGGTAAGAGATCATTACGATATGGCTGTTGGCTCTTGGATTTAGATAAACTATGAATAAAATGTACACACAGCATTGAAAGGACGTTTAAGGCAAGTGATCTGCATTACCTGTGGGAACTTGACAATGATGTGGTGGGGAATGTTCATCACATTGTGCAAATAATCAAAAGTCTCAGTAAGTTTCCTTTTATTTGCAGTTAACATCTTTGGGATTCTGGTGATCATATGCTGAATTTCATTACGTTTAAAACCAAGTTCAAGACGATAAACCTAAAAGAAAGTAAACTTCCTATGTATTGTGAATAGAAATAGTTATTTTGGTACTATGCCAAGGCCACACTGATTCTTTTAAAATGTAAAATAATGACATTTTAAAATCTGGAGACAACTACGCCAATGCCCACAAGGCATTATAGCTTTCTGCTTGTGGAGTCATGGGAATTTCAAACCCCTCTCCTAAGAATGAGCTACTCACAGCACGGTGATCATCATGAAGATCACCCAAAGGAGCAAACATAGTATCAGATAGACTAAAGGCGGATGTGGCAGGGCTGGTGAGGTTCAATGTATGTGCCTGACACCAAACAGACCAGCAGTAAGATTTTCAAAGTGGTTTTTGAGCTTCTGCTCCCAAGCACACATTATCTTAAAAGCTGTTATCCAAAAAGCTGCAAGTCAAAATTCCAGACAGAGATGATAAAACTAAACACCCAAACATAGGCTAGGTCTTCTATGTGCTTTCGTGGTATCCTATGTTTGCCTACCAAGCCACTGCTGTTGTCAGTGTGGATTTTATCCCCTGTGAGACTGAAAGCTCTTTGAGAGCAGGAGCTGTCTCCCTAGCATAGTGCTTGGGTAGGTGCTCAATAAACATTTCTTCAATGACTGGATATGAAACACTTTAGTAACTCAGAAAACAGGCCTTATATAATCATTCCAAATACTACTATAGCTCTGTATAGTAACTAGTCAGTTGCCCTTGGCTTCATACTACTCTCTTAGAGAAAGGACAGAGTGTCTGGTATGTTATGATAGAACTAGAGCTGGCAATTGGCACAGGTGCTAAGGAGAACCATGTGCCGGCCCCTACTCTCTTCAAAGAAGTCTTCTAGATCCAACCTCCAAAACTCCCCCAGACATAGACAAAGACTCTCATGCTAGGCAACAAAAGCAGTTTCACAGACTGGTAACATAGACTAGGTAATATAAGCATAAACTCCCATGCTGGGCAACAGCAGCAGTTTCCAGGTACCACTCATATTCTTAATCTATTGCTTTAGGATTATGGGTACCAATATATGCAAGGTGATTTACTCATGTAACACCTGGTCAACATGTGAAAATATCATTAACTGGAAAAAACTGCTTATTAGATATTTGTTATAATTTCCTACTTCTTTTTCAAAATAACTTCTTTTAAAACTAGTTTTCTTTAAGATGACAGCAAAATCTATTCTCTTCAGAGGATTAAACACTTAAAGAAAGAAAGTGATTTCTCAAAAGCTTAAAGTTGTCCTACCTTCATATTTTCCTTCACGGGCTCCAGACTTCCAGTTAGTAGCCTTGGGAGACGAACTACCAGATCTCTAGTCTACAGTTGTAAAGAAAGCAATCTATTATTACTGTATGTGCATATTTAACTACTTTGGAAAATTAAGGTACTACTAGGAATACAAAGTTAAAACTTAAAATATGACCCAATCAGAAAAATGTTAGGGACCCTGGAAATACATAAACTTAGTACTGTTTGAAGAAAAGACAAAACTTAATGAACCAATTTGAAGGAATATTATAAAATGATGTAGGTTTATGTCTAACCTATTTTTGTATAGCAAATACCAGCAATTTATAGAAATCATATGGGCCAGGTATTTGTTAGAAACATGAGATTTAACAGCTACTAAATATACCTGACATGGAAATGTACAAATTCTTCCCCCCGCCTCTTTTTACCTTCTTCACACTAAGTTCAAGTTCTTTCTGAAAAAATCCCAATCTGTTATCCAGTCTTTCTACTGAAAAATTCAGCAAAAATGGTGCATTTCTGACCATCTGTGAAATATCTGTCTTACTGAAATTTTTTGACCGTAGATAAGCCACCCTGGAGAAACAAAAATACACACACATATGATATACATTTACTAATGACATGCTGCTTTCCAAAGCAATAACTATTTTTAAAAAGGCTCCCGCACCAAAAAAATAAATAAATAAAAACAAAAGCACTCTATAATAACGGCCCGAATATGGTTAAAACAAAACAAGCATTCACCCAGCTCAAGAATGGTTTCCATTTATACTTGAAA